CCCCCCCCCGGTGCTACTTCCGTCTACCTCCCCTCCGACTCGGAATCTCCCTGTGACGTGGTCGATCCTGGGCTTGCAGGGATGCGCTTATGGAAAGAGATCATGTTACTGCGGCCATATTGTGGTACTCAATGACGGCAACGTCCAATCCTGTTCGCCCCCGCGTTCGCCACTGAGCTGGGCCTGACGACGTATGCTTGTTCTGTGTTGTCGATGTGGTGTGTGCCAGGTGAATCACTTGGCTCAGTTCTTCCTGACGGAGCTGTTGCTTCCGAACCTGAGGAGGGCCTACAGGGACACGGGCGAGCTGTCGCGAGTGGTTATCGTCGCTAGCGGCGCGCACAGATGGGCCTCCACCAACAACCAGGGAGCGGTAAGCAGCAGCAGCAGCATCAGCAGCAGCAGCATCAGCAACAGTCTCGTAGGATGACAAAATCTGAACGTGATCGCGGAACCTGTTTTTTTCTGATGCTCCGCGGCCGACACATGGCATGGTATAATCGCTATTCGCTGACTTTGGCTCCGTACATGTTGCACCTAGCACACAGCAGCGACGGAGGTGTACTGTACACATGAGAGTGTTACAGTCCCCGACACGATGTACCCGCGCTCGATCAAACATCCCCCCCTCTTTGTTTGTGCCACGACTCCCCCTGACTGGTGCGCACTGACGTTGAATCGGCGTCGACACTCAAAAAAACATAGGCGGGCGGGCTAGCCAGAGGCGCGGGTGCTGCGCAGCACGAGGTCGGGGCAGGGGGGGTATCGTACGCCACGGAGATGTCGCGGGGCTGGGGAAAGTGGCAGGCCTACGCCGGGAGCAAGCTTTGCAACGTCTTGTACGCGGCGGAGCTGACGAGACGTTACGGCGGGGAGGATAGCGGGGTAGTTGGGGTGGCGGTGAGGCCCGGGACGGTGCGGACGGCCATCGCAAGGCATAGCCCGCTGCTGAGGTTCATTTTCACCCTGGTGCAGCCGTTCCTGACTTCGGTGGAGAAGGTGCGTGGGTGTGTTCGTGTGTAGACCAACACGTAAGCGGGACGGGAGAAGACATAGCGGTTGACGGGGGGGGGGGGTAT